CGGCTTTACTGTAACTTTGATTTCGTACCAAATTACCTGTACCAACACTGCTAACTTAGATGCTACCATGCATGCCCAATCGAGCACGAGTCGTCGTCCCCATCTCGTTCAGAACGCCATTTGCCGCCATTCGCCGTCTTGACGAGAACGTGAGTATGTTTTATTTGTTTTCTAATTTCTACTTACCTATCTAAGGGATTTCTTCAATCTAAAGGGTCGGTTAGGGAATAAAAACAGTGCCGAAAGTAATTTGATCGAACCGTGATGGAAAAAAACTTTATTTCTTTCGAGTTGCAGATTGAGCTTTACAGTTTACAGCGGAGAAAGCAATGGCGGATGATGATAAAAGTGCTGCAGGGTATGTACGTAGCCTTATAAATGCGTTTCTAAATATAAATCGCGGACATTTCGTTATAGTTTTGTAATTTATACCAGCTGGCATTTTTAAGAAGATTTCTGGGCTTTGAAAAATATCCGAACCGCTCGGATCGACAGTGTATGTAAAATTAGCTCAGCTCTGAATCACTTGACGTTGATTACAACACTAAAAAAAAGTTAAATTGTTCTAGTGGATAATTTTTGCATTTTCAAATAAGCAGTAAAGGACTCGTCCAGGTAACCGATGTGCTAAAGTATTTATGTTTCCCGCCGTGGACGACGGTCCCGTCCCAGGCCTAAATCGGTCATATACGTCGTCGTCCACGTTCTCGTCGTCAGTGCTAAAGGTCCCTATTGACATATGTGATTACTAAGTTAAAGAAATGTTCAATCACTTGGCACAAACAGCCAGTAGGATTAGTTTTTCACTTCTGCACTGTAATATCAGAGGTATCTTGAATGAGTATGATGATCTTGTAGCCTATCTTGATTCCCTAGTGCACAAATTCTCAGTGATCGGTTTAACTGGAACGTGGTTAAATAAGGACAATGTAAATGATTTTCCATTGACTCAATACAATTTTTGTGGGTAAGGTACGAGATCATAAACAAGGGGGTGGTATGGGAATATATGCGAAGCAATCATGCCAGTATAGTGAGCGCCATGAGCTATCGATTAACATTGATGACATAGTAGAATCACAGTTTATAGAATTAACGAAACCTAACAATATGATTGTAGGTGTGATATAAAGGCCTCCAGATGATAAACAAGAACTTTTCAAAGACAGCTTATCTGATCTACTTCAAAAAATTGATTCACAGAAAAAGAAATGCTTTCTTATGGGAGATTTTAAGATAGATCTGATAAAACAGAGGAAAATCAACACACTGATGACATTTTAAAACTTATGTTTCCATCCTCATTTTACCCACTAATTTCAAGACCTACAAGAATACCAAGTAGAAGTGCTACACTGATCGATAACATTTTTGTTAAGAGTCTAGAAGATAATTTCACAAGTGGGTTGCTCTTTACTGACCTTTCTGATCAGTAAAGTAACTTGGGAAACTCTTCACGTCTTGAACCAAAAATTAGAACATGAAAAGTGGGAAGATATATACAATGAGCAAAATCCTCAACAAGCATACACTAGGTTTTATAATATAATCTACAGAGCATTTCAAAGTAGTATACCAATCGTAAACCAAAGTACTAAGGATTTTAAAGCCTGTCAAGTACCCTAGGTGACAAAAGGGATTTTAGCCTCTAGAAAAGTTAAAAATAAACTTTACTAAATAGTTCCTTAAGAACCCAACTGATACAAATGAAAAGACTATAAAGTATATCGAGACAAGTTTAACAAGATTAAACGAATTGCGAAAAAAAAAGTACAACATTAATAAACTGAACGAGGTAAAAGGAAATGTAAGAATCACATGGAAACTGACAAATGAGATATTAATTAACAAGAATAAATCTAGATCAGAACTACCAAACAAATTCTTGAAAAAAGATGATTTAAGTTCTGATCCTCTTGAAAAAGCTAACTGTTTCAATGAATATTTTGTAAATATAGGGTCAAATTTATCTAAAAAATACCAGAAAGCCTTGTTGATTTCAAATTATATTTAGATGAGAGAAAATGTAGCTCGATATTCTTGGATGCAATACTAAAGTGAAGTAACAAAAGAAATAGATCAATTAAAAGTTACAAAGTCAGGTGGTTATGATGAGATGTCTCCAAAAGTTATAAGAGAAATTTGAAAATACATAGTTAAACCTTCGACACACATATACAATCAATCACTTCTTACTGGCATTTTTCCAGATGAACTAAAGATAGCAGTTGTAACACCGATATTGAAATCAGGTGACAAAGAATCATTGAATAATTATAGACCAATCTCTGTTCTACCATGTTTTTCAAAAATATTAGGAAAACTAACGTATAAGAGAATTGTTAGTGTCCTAGATAAACATAACATTTTGAGTGAAAGTCAGAATGGAATTCGTAAAAGCCCTCAACGAAACTAGCTATTTTGGAACTTGAGACAAAGATATCAAAAGCAATAGACAATATTCGTATTCCTCGACGGCCCTGGGACGAGTAAGCGCTTGCGCGTGAATGAGAGACTAATGCAGGGAAAAGTTGCCGCGAAATACAAGAAAGTTATGGTCGGTTTGGCAGAAATGAAAGTAATTTTTAAAAACTTGAAGGTTCCAGAGCTTAAAAAAAAAAACCTGCAGGCTCCAGGAATATCTGTCTCCAACTAAAAGAAGGAAGAATTAGTTGATCTGACGGAAAAGCCCACGAACTCGCTCTCGAATTGACCGACAACTGTGAGTCCATAAGTGATGTTGTGAATGCGAAGTTGGTTACAAGAAATGGTTTAATCCGAAATCCAGAAATCCAGATGGTTTCTAACCTTCGATTAGTCAGTCTTAGTTGCCTTCTGAATTCTGTTTGTCGCGGAAGCATTCTTTAAACGTCTCGTCTCCGGATCCTGGCGTTGTTTCATGTTTCACTTCTTTTCGTTGGAGGTTTAGGAAAATCATATATCGTAGGAAAAGAGTTTGCCTTTGTTGGCCCTAACCCTCCTACAAAGTGTTTAGAGCATATACGAGTATGCCTTGTGACATTTAGGCTTTCCAGCCGGTATGCCGCGATCCACCTTCAGCTTCGACGTCTTTCCTGTCCACTTATCCCAGGAGCGTACTGTTTTTTTTCGTCATTTGTTGGCAACAGTGGAAAGTAACATTCGAAACGTTGGGGTATTTAATTGGGTTCTTTTTCTTAGCCTCGCTGTTGGTACAGTTGTAGGCATTAGAATGATGTTTCGGCATTTTTTACGCGCAATCGAAGAAATCACTACATTAACACTTCCCCGCATCAGCCTCGCATTCATGCTCAGGGCCTACTCGTCCCAGGACCGTCGGGGAATACGAATGTTGTCTATTGATGATAAACCATGATTTACTATGGGTGTATTTAGATATCTCTCCAAAGCACTTGATACTCAGTGGATCATAATATCTTACTTCAAAAACTAAAGTACTATGGGATAAGAGGAATTGCATTGGACTGGTTTAACAACTATTTGAGAAAATCTTCTTTCCAAGAGTCAAAATACGTCTTATGAATGTTTTTCTTTTTCATAAATAAGGAAGTCATTTTATGGTTACAGTGATAGATATGTTAGATATCAGACATGATCGATGAGCATCACGACAATAAACTCGAACGAAACTTATGAAGTATAATCTTCAGTTCCTTCCCCACTTACTAATCCTCGACAGTAACAAGACCAATCCAAACACTAGAAATGCGTACATATTCCCAAGACAAAGCGAAACTTTAGTTAGACACGTTACATCGGATCAATAATAATTGTATTTAAATAATGAAAGCCACTTAAGTTCTTTTTAAATCGAATCGACCATCTTTGCACAGCCTGCGTCGTGTTTCGGTGAACTCCGTGAGAAATCTTTCCACGAGTCAATATACGTCTTATCAAGTATTTCTATGCAAGCATGTCATTTTGTTCGTAAAACGTCGCAGTTTAAAGCGATGGATACGTTGGATATCAAATATGATATATGAGCATCACGACAATAAATACGAGCAAAACTCATGAAGAAACATCTTCGATTATGATTTCCCACTTACCAGTTCTCGACAATAACAATTCAAATCCAAGCACTATCGAGGCGTACATCTTGGCGAAATTCATTGTCCTTGACCAATGTTTTGGATGAGAATGTTTGAAACACGACGAGAGCGAAAGTTACGCCTGCACGACCAATTAAGTTATGGTTGGAATTTTCGGTGTCACACAACGAGTGACTGGGTATCAGCGGAAGTTTAGCGTGAGATCACGCGTCAAGGAAATTGTAAAAATGAATTAATAACAAGCTGATTTCAAACAAGGACAAGCATACGGAATAGAGAGATTTGGAATGTGAAAAACTATACGAACCTTCACGAGCAGCTTACTTTATAGCTTTAGATATTAAAGAGACGCATTTTGGATATTTTTGGAAAGTTCTTAAAGGTTTTGCCAGCGGGATTGGGGTCGTCAGGGTCAGCCACTTAATTAACGCCACAATAAAAGGAATAATTCAAGATTTTTTTCCCTTCATCCATCTGCTTGTGTCTACTTTTCAGTTATGAGCTTATGATATAGTCTGTGGCCTTTTGGATAACATGGTTCGGATACATTTTGAACCGATGAGATACTCGACCGGACAACACCACTGGATCATTCTAAATCTTTTATTCCATAATTTGCATGTATTTACTTAATTACTTTTTACATATGGATTTGATAAACAAGGTCACAAACACATATTTTATCTAAACGATGTGTTTATCTTTTTATTCATTTGAAGTAGTTTTATTGAATACTTAGCTTAGATCCTGCACTAATTAAAATGACAGCACAGCCATATTGAATTTTTTAAATACATATTATCTCCGTAAAATGTCTTTCCTTGTTTTAACTAGCAACTGTACAGGAATGATATTTGATATTTCAATTTCCCGTGTTCTTGAAACCGAATTACGACAGACTACGCTTTCATTTTCCAATGGCAATTTTTTTAAGCCCCAAAGAGCCGGCATATCGAAGTCGTATTCATTCAATAGACCGCCTCCCGCTTAGCTCAGTGGATTGTTACGTGCATGAATGACCAACAAATGTCCGCTAACAAAGCATATATGAAAATAGACTCCCGAGTACGATATATGGCACGCAACAAAAATGTAACAACAAGCAGTTACCCATTTTAACTATTATTTAATTAGTTTTACATTGTCTAATTTACTTAGGTTAAAGATTAAGTTAAGCAGTTCATAAAGCAGGCTTACAATCCTTCATGCCGTGTAAGTGTTCGTCGTCTTGATCAACTTCCAATTCCAACATCCGCCGACTGAAGACCACAGCGCTTGGCTTTCTTGATTTATCGCATTCTTTCCTTGTACACAAACTCTTCCGGAGGACTCCATAGTAAACTCTGTATTCTCTATCTTCTTCCTCTCTCGACTATCGTCTTTTTCATCTCTTTCTTCTCTCCGGATATCGCAAGGTCAAAAGGTCATAGCCTCGTCANAAGCCACGAGGGTAAGCCCTCGGGCAAATCTCCTTTGTACTTCTCACAAGCCAGCTTTTATACATTTACTTTAGTTATCTAGAATGTTCTATTACTATTTATAGCGTATTACAAGTTGTACTATTTTTGGAAACTGCTGAGTCACATGAAAGAAGTTTCTGGAATATTACAGATTACAGATAATTCTAGAAAAGTCTGGGATTGCGTGGCAGATTCAGTAAAAATAATTCGATCCTCATAACAGGATAGAGCGCTGGACTGTTGTGCGGGAGGTCGAGGGTTCGAGCCCCGGTCGGACCAACACTCAGGGTCTTAAAATAATTGAGAAGAGTTTGCTGCCTTTCTATAACATCAAGAAATGGTTAGATATTCTAGTCTTCCCGGATAGGGACGAATAAATGGAGGTCCCTTCTCCTGCAGGATTCCCGTCTCTGCAGGGTTAGGGGCAGGAGATGTTAATTTCCCAGGAACGAAATTACTGTGTGATGGATATCCTCCCCTGGGGTCACGTTGACGGTTGACAGTTAGAAATAAGCCCGTTGACGGTTGACGGTTCAATTTTAGGTAATTTAACGGTTGACGGCTAATTTGTTGGAATGTCGTTTATAAAACGAACTAAACGCGCTAATTTGGCTGTAATTTTTCTAGTTACGATTTAAACAACTGACGTTGTTAACGTTTTACGACACCAGGAAATGTTTCCACAGCGGAAGTCAGATCGGCCGCTAACAAGATTTACTCGTGACTAGAAGTTAAAGGACTTTTTATATACATGTATTTTTATGTATACATCAAAATTTGTGTTTATAAACAACAGAACTTGACCCATGCCAGTTACTAAGGCAATCGTGTAGTTCTTAATTAAGGATATCTGAGACATTTGACAGCTAACATTAGCTTGCTTGTTTGACGGTTCACAGTAAAAATATTGCTTATTTGACGGTTGACAGCTAATATTTTGGCCAGTACGTTGACGGTTGACGGTTAACCCCATTGAAACCCTTATTAATGGAATCTAAGAATGGAAATAAACTGACCGCCAATAGGAAGACACAAACGCAAGATCAAACAACTAACAATAAGCAGCACACCCCATTCGTTTAACTAAGTCTAATAAATAATTATGATATCTACTCAACTTGAGAGAAAACCTATTCGTCTTCATGAAATCTTCACATTTGTTAAGTTCTTATTAGGAATTGCGATTTCTGTATCGATGGGTTTGTTTTAGAGGAAACTTGCTGTGCTGGTTTATAAAATAACCTATCTTAAATCAGTCTTAAACAGTTGCATCAGCCTTGTTATGTTCTCAGACTACGTCTCTCTGATCAGACCATAGTTAATCGATTACCTATGATCAGACGGAAGAGAAAAAAGAGAAAGACTTGTTTTTTGGTATCATTTTGTCATCCTCGTTTTCCTCCTAATCTACTATAAAAGGAAAAAGTCACATAACATCAACAATCTAAATATATAATGCATCAAAAACACCTATACGAGTCCTTAAGTAGCTCGCGGGCGGGCATGTGCGAAAGTTCTCATCCTTATATTATTATCATCATCATTACTGTTTCAATGGTGAGACTGCAACAAGTTCTAATTAGGCAATAATGTGAACAGAAGAGATAATTGCTCAGACGGGCCAAAAGCATGCATAATTTGCATTTGATTTACATTGGGCATAGCTCATGAAACGGAGTACCCAAACCACTATTAAACTAGCCCAATGTCAATGGATAATATTTTAATTTTCCTTTATGGCTTTGCCCAGACTCACTCCATTATTATTTTATTTACCTCAGCCTTAAACAAATTAGTGCTATCCATCTTATCAACAATCCACTTAAGCAATCATGTACTCAAGAACAGACATTTGATTCTCATATTCAATGTCGCTGTCATCTTCTGTTGATTTCACAAGGGAAGTGTACGTTCGGGAACCATCCTCTTCAGAGGTCTGCAAAATATTCAGTTTAATGCTTGAGAACACGACTGAACTCGTCAGTGCAAGTGAAAAAAAGTTGAAGGAAGCCATAAACGTTGCCAAATGAGAATTAGACATTAATTAATTATATTTCTAGTGATCGTGATGTTTAATTTTTTTCTGTGATGCTGCGCTTAAAACTTATCGTGCCTGTTACCAAATGATACCACTTTACCTGGAAATCTTAAAAAAAAGTCTTAATCAAACAGACGAAGTTTGAAACAGGTATGAAAGGAAAACAAGGAGATGAAAATATTAATAAACGGTCGATTGTTATTTCTGTTTTATTAATTCAGTTCTTTCTGTAATTTTTTTGATGACTTGAACTGTTGAGTTTCTTTTTAATGCATTTCGTAATCAGGGAGAACGGTCTATAAGTGGTTTGGTATATGTGAACATAAAGGGACAGCTATAGACAAGATGGTGACGCTAAATAGATGGATTCATCAAACCTATATATAGGAAAAGCTTAAACTGCCCCTGAGATCAAAATTTTCGTACATCACTTTTTTCCATTTTCGTGTTCAGTGTGTCTCCTTCACCTACTCTGCCAAATTTCAGTTTAGACCGAGCACCAGAAATATCTTTTTTCGGGCCGTTAAATTCACGATTTCGCGTCCGCCATTATTTGATCATGTTCCGGAAGTTGATCGCAGGACTAAGAGGAAGTGACGTCAAAGGCTCAACGAGAAAAAAATTTACATGGCAAAATGTCAAGCAAACACAGCAGACTGCTTTACTCTATTCTTACAAAAACTAAACAAAAATGACTGGGCATCGATGCGTAATTCAAAGCTGAAGTAATCGTGCAGACCATGTTGCAGGTATTTCTCTGCATCGGAGCCTTGCAAATACATCGGAGCGGGAAAAACGGATGCGATTTGTGCGACCTCGCCGAGTAAACCTGAATCCTACAGAAATATTTGTGATCTACTCCGAACACTTCTCGGAGGACTGTTTCGAGAGATCTATGTACTTTGAACAGAGTTAAATGACTCTGCTTTGAAGGATCTAGGCGAAGAATTCTGCGAGTTCAGTGCCGACTGTTCAAGAAGAGAAGGGACAAGAAAAATCGTCCTCAGTACGATCTCGACGCCTGAAAGCGAAGTCTACGAACCTCCATGGATTTTGTCACCTTTACATATGAGCTGATCAATATCCACCTTTAACAACTCTCTGGCAGAATACCTTACACAAAGGAAAGTACTCGGTCAACATTATAAATAAGAATGATAAAATAGCCGAATTGAGGATTGAGAATTCTGACCTCAAAGAGTTGAGACTTATACAAAAGATATAAAAAATATAATTGTGTGCTCTGATTCTAAAATAGCTGGCTTTAATATCAGCGAAAGCAGAACAAACAGCTTAAAACACAGAGCGCAAAAACACTTTAAAATGTATGCTTGCAGCCAAAATCCGAGAAAATGAAAATCTCTTTAAAAACCTGTCAAACTATCGACCATCTGACAGCCAAGTCTGCGTGCCATCAAAGGGTCTCAAATTCATCCCAACGCCCGTGACAAACAAATCTAAAATCAGGCCAACTTTTGCGAGATTTATTCGCAAGACAAATGCGCCTCCGTTACACCTTTCAAGGACAAAACAAAGAACCACTTCTGTCTCATATCAAACTGAATGCCACCGGTTCAGTCTTCTATCGCCCTTCAGAGCTACTTGGAAAATTGTCATAACGCTACTTGCAGACT